TTGGGGATGGGTCAAAACCTATTACTGCCATATTTTGGGAATAAACAGGCATAAACCATCTATTTCGGGTCCCCAGGGTACCAGGGTTTTGACTCATAGCCAATTCAAGCCTGAAGAAGAAGTAGCTTGGCAAAACAAGAATTAGATTGGCAATTCCAAGACTTAGATGTTCTCTAGTTAAATGGTGCGACATGTGTTGTAGACATATCATTCCAGACGGGAACATTCCCCCAAATCAGGGAATATGATGGGCTGGAGCGTGAGCAGCCAAGGTCTCACCACGAGGACAAGAAAAAGGGCTGTGCCTGCTGAGGTGCTTGGGGGGCTCAGTTGCCTACGAAAAATCTGAATTCTTCATGGATGATATCCTGGCATATCATGGCATTAGATATTATGAATTTCTGTATGCATGTATGTTAACATACTTGTATATAAATATATATATATATAATTGTATTATATATGATATTATCTAAGTACAAAAATATGTGAATGCAACATCATAAGCATGAAATACATAGATATGCATAGATATGTGTAGAATATAATTATATACAGAAGTGAGGTTAATTTGCTGAGCAGTTGTACGATTGACACTTTGGAGATCAGGTCCGTGTTTGAAAGAATGAGGGGTTCCAGTATGTTCCACAGTTTTTTGTGGCGGTGTGGCACCTTTTTAGTGGAATGCAGGTCGCCACGACTCTTATTTGTCGGAAGAACTTGCATCATGAATCATGTGCTGTTATTTTTTTAATTGTTTTTGCCTTATGATTTGTGTTGGCCATTGTTAGCCACATCTTCGCTTCTATTGACATCTCCAAACTCTGCCGCAGTGCCTGCAGGTTCTACCCTGCCTCTGGGAAGCTGGGCGGATCTTACTTGGAGCTCTGCCCACAGCCTATCCGATCTATCCGTACGCCGGCGTTTCACAGCTGGCAGCTGGGGCAGCGATCTTCGGGGTAAGGCATGGAAGAACCATTTCGTTTCGGAGGGCTTTGCGGATAGAACAGGTAGAACATGGTAGAACCAAGGCAGACCAAGACAAATACACAATCTATATATATATATATATTATGTAGTCAACATAGGATGGTGCATCAGCGAACGAAAGGACCTTTTGTCAACAGGAGCAGAATAGGATGGTGTGTAATCTTATGAGGCTATATTATATTGCATATATTTTTGTTAGTTACATTTATATGTTGCACACCCATTATTATACAAGAATGTCAAGCGTGCTTGCGCGATTTTGCACCAAGCGTCACAACATACTCAGATTTTGGGGATGAATTCAAACTGGGTGGTACTCGTATCCTTTCCTAAGTAGGAAATCAAAATGGTCAGCATAAGGATTCCCATTGTGGGATGGATGATTCATTGCCAGCTTTGATTCCTAGATAAACAGCTGGTGTAACTATTGGCTTGGTTTACGGGAAAAAAATCAGGAAACCCCCATATTCAATGGTAAAAACCATGGTTTCCGGTTAAGATGTTCCCCAAGAAACCAATCCAATGAGGTATAGATCAGCAGCCTTCAGCTGCCGGGACCCCCCCTGGTGACCGAGAAGGATGGGTGTCTGACTACAAAACCAACCATGGTTTGGGAACTCATGCATTTTACCCTCTGGTAAACTAACATAGCTATTGAAAATGGCAATTTATAGTGGATTTTCCCATTAAAAATAGTGATTTTCCATGGCCATGTTAGTTTACCAGAGGGTAGCGATGGAGACATGGTTTCTCAATAGTTGCCCAATCCTGCTATGATTCTATGCACCATTTCTCGGAAGACCTCAACGATGTTTTTCTGCCTAAGATGTGCAAACCCATAGGATCCATGTATGGTATATATAATATATATATGCTAACATTGGGGGTATGTGGATGGTAAATGTTACCATATATTGCATACATGGATCCTATGGGAAATCATGTTTGTGCCTTCGATCTTCAAGGGGTGTCTCACAGCAATATCTACAGAGCCGTCGTGCCGACGGTCGTGCAGAGAGGCACAAGGTCCCTGCACGACAAATCTCTCCGACATGGGCGCAGCGTGGATGGATGATGGATGGCAATGGTAAATTGATAGCAATCTGACTGGCCAACAACATTCTTTAAATATCCGCACATGATTGTTCACCGGTAATTTGCCCACATCTACAGCTAGAAGAATACTAATGTTAGCTACTGATTAGTGTGAGGGGGGCCCATCCCCCCCCTCAAACAATTTGAGTATACTGAATAACTCGCAGTTTTTTTGCCCCCCCCCTCAACAATTTTTAGGATAGTCAACTTAAGTAAGGATCTCAATTGAAATCAATTTACTTTCAATTGATTTCAATTTACTTTCAATTGATTTTCAGTTGAAATCAGTTTACTTTCAATTGGTTTCAATTTACTTTCAATTGATTTCCATTTACTTTCAATTGATTTCAATTTACTTTGAATTGATTTTTAGTTGAAATCAGTTTACTTTCAATAGGTTTCAATTTACTTTCAATTGATTTTCAATTGAAATCAATTTACTTTCATTTTTTTTCACTCCCAAAAGTTGTTGTGCACAATAGGGCACCATCCAAACAATTATATATTATTGAGGATCTGAGCCATTCATGGGATACCACCTTGAAAAATTGTCTGGGTGCTGTTTTTCAATAAGGGTTTAATAAGGCATCTAATTATTTGGAAAAAAATGATAAAATTGGATCTGAGAAAAAACATGAAAAACAACTGAAACAAAAAAACAAAATCTTGGAAAAATGAAACAAAATGGAAAACAATTTAAACAAATTGAAAACATCTGAAAAAAACTTTTCACACTAGAGGCTCCCCCCCAAACACCAAGATACTCAATTAGGAAGCAAAAACTTGCCACAATAGGGCACCATCACACTATTCTTGTGCTAACATTAATATTTCTGAAATTGTCGTTTTTGCTCAGCAAAACACAGAAGCTTAGCATTTCTTGCCGTGCTTCTAATGGTCAAAGTCTTCAGGGAATCGACTTCACCAAATTTGTTTCGTCAATTTGTTGGCGCGAAGAATCTAGTGCTTGATCCATTTGGGAGTAGCCGTTTCAGCAAAGATTACCCATCTCAGTCAATAAGGAAACCACATGCCTTCATGTCAATTCGATGCTTCGGCGCCGGCAGGAGCAGTCCCTTTCCAATGGAAAGAGGATCCGTGCAGGGGCTGTTGTCACCACCTGTTTTTTCGAACTACACATTCTTAGTCTCAACCAGCAATTAATCCCATCACCCTAATATTAAACACCCCATAAATGGTCCATAATGGTCCTAATTATGAGGAAATTCCCTACTAAACTATGCATGAATATGGTTTCTAAGGGGGTGTTTAATATTGGGGGAAGGGATTAACCGAGTGATCCAAGGGTCACACAGAACCTGTGACGAAGCCCCGCCTGATGCAGAAGCTGGCAGCCGGCGCAGCAGAATGCCACAATTTGGTCATGTTGGAATGTTTCGCAGTGCCGTAGTTTCCTGAAACAATCTTCACATCCCCCTTGAACGAAAATCAGTCAATGGATTGGCTTGTGTGGGGAAAATCTGGCAGCCGGAAACCATCGATTTTCCCATTCAGATCACTCATCGGTCTGCAGCGCCGGAGAGCCAGCTGCGGGCGAAGCAGTGATGCCTGCGCCGGGGAAAACGGTGCTGAAAGTGCCATGTGCTGCCGACACAGAATTGGTGGTGATGAGGTTGATGACATGCTTCGGCTATTAATCCAATCCTATCATACATTCTTCTACCATATTATAACCATATGTTGGGGCGATGATCCGCGATTGCCAGTTAATTATTTTGGTGTTCACCAGGATACCAGAGTTTTGACCCATATCCAATCACAATCATACACGATGACGATGACGTCCCCATTTTTCTAGTGTCCAATCACCATCAGACTTTCAGACCTAAAAGTCACAGTTGGTGGGTGATTGGCCCCCAAGCAAACAGCAGTTGAGAGCATCACCAAGGGTTTTCAAGCTGTATTCTACATACGTTTACTTCGTTTACTTTGTTGACTGTTCTGAAAATGGGAGCCTCCAGCAATGCGGAATAGCCGCCTTCAGGAAACATCAGGAAACATCGTGGAAACCAAGTTTTCAGGGGGCAATCACCACAACATGCCATGGACTGTGGGGCCTCATTTTTTGATGCTTGGATATGCTTGGGGATGCTTGGAGGCTTCATGGAAACCAGTCTTCGCCACATGGCTGGCAGTTGTGAAAACTGAGATGACGACGGAGAGAATACTTTTTGGGAGATGCCAATGCCGATCCTGGTGTATCGTGTTGTGGGATTTCATCTATCCAGCTGTAGGATTTGAGCCATTTGGGCGGTTCAGACCCACACATTTCTGAAGGATCCATAGCCACACCATGCCAGACCCACTTGTTGATTCTCAACTTCCTCCTTTCAGATTGTCACCTCATTCTAACTTGGCCAGTTGCATCATGTTGCATCCCATTCCTTCATTTCGAACTAACCAATCTGCATATCTGGCATATCTGTTGCCAGACAACTTTCACCCAAAAGAAACTCAATCCTATTAGAAAGCAACCGCTCCACCACTCATCTCAATGGGTTGTTGATCCGCTCGATGAGGATGACGGCGATCAAACGTGTGAATGACATCGAAAGACCATGTGTTTGGTTTTTTGGGGGCATAGAATGCACCTGGGCCGTGCCATCAGGCAATGGGGCCCGTTTGAAATCGATGTGAGCGTAGAACGTTAGTTCCCCTTGGTGTTCCGCAATGCAATCTCAAAGACGCAGGCAACTTTTATATCCGCTACTGTAGATTTTTCGGAAGCGGTTTCTGGCTTGAAATGGGCAGATTTAGCCCCAAGACACATGAGCAGGGACATTTTGTTCATTAAGTTCATACAGCACTTGAAACTTGAGCTGCATTTTAATCCGCATTCGTCATGTCTTATATTACTTGGAAGTGATAACTGCTTTGCCTGGCCGTACTTTGCTCAAAGCTCCCCGAACGCCCCCACGAGCTGTTGGCTGTGTCCTGTGCAAACATGAATCTTGAGGCTCATTTTGGGGCTCTTCTTTGTGATGGTGTTGACATGCATCGGTTGTGTGATCAACACGAATATCTTCGCGTTTTCGTGCAAACAGGCAGTTCGCCAAGTTGTGTTTTATATTCACCTGTCCCAACTAGTAGTAGAAAAAGTACATGCTTATCATTTGCAATTGGGTGCGATTGGTATGAGTCCGGAAGGTGGATCACGTGGGTGCTTAAGCATTGGATCGAAGTGCAGTGTGGTTCAGCTGTGACCATCCCTTGCTGAGTGAGAATTTCCCTTGAGGTGGCGCTGGCCAATGGTGAGCGTGAGGCGGCGGCGGCACGAGCCTTCCACGAACTGCCCGCGTGGAGGCGGGCCCTGAGGCGCATCGTGCCAGCGCTGCTGCTCACCCTCATCATCGAGCTCTTTGTGGCCTTCATTGTCTCAGAGTATACGGACTGCAACTTCAAGCTTTTGCGTGTTACAAGTGTTTTTTCTCCCGGAGAGACAAAAATGAGGAAGACACAAATTGGACAATTTGACATAGTTTGACAATATGTCCTCACAATATCTCACAATTGAAGTATATAATCAGGGGACAAACTGCAAACATGAATGCTTGACGGATGCTGTACTCGTTTGGGAAAGGTTTGGGGCCGTGCTGCAGTTGTTGCTTTGTATTTCTCATCCTGCCCTTCTCTTATTTTTACGATGGATGTGTAGCTACTCCAGTCTGTCACGCCCCCTGCAACCAGTTATATAGATCAGTTAGGCACTTCACTTTGTCCAGTTATGCAGTTACAGAGCAGCTCCAGATACAGCAGCTTTGCTTCAATTTTAGAGCAAACATTCCAAACAGATAATATTCGGGAAATCTACAAGAACCCCTGAAGACGTTCAAACCATGGTTTCGTTCAATTTCCCCTGCCGTCAACCCATCCATTGAAGCATGATGACATCGTTTATGCAGAATCGTTGTTTTGTTTCCAGACACACACACACAAGTTTCAAAGGTCAGAACAGGTTCGCACGGTAGAACAAAATGTTTTTCTGAAACGTCGCATTGAAACTTGAATCTTTTCAACAAAATCAATAAGAATCAAAAATAATTGCCACACATAAAAAAAACCGTCGGTGCCTGACAATCCCAAGCTATTCATTTTTCTGAAGCTGCAGGACACCTTCAAAAAGTATACCTTGTTGATTGCCTTCCAGCCCGTGATCTCAGCCCTCTCCGGCAACGTGGGCCTCCAGACCATGGCCACAATCACCCAGGGCCTACCCCTGGGCCTTTTCCACGGGCGAAGGATGGGCCAGGGCATGGGCCACGAGATGAGAGCTGGGGTGTTGGTCGCAGGTCTCCTGAGCTTCATGCTTGCTGCGATCGCGTTCCTGTGGTATTCTCCAATGGCACCTGGCCATTCATGGGGAGGATCACTCGCCTTTGGGATGGCCATTTTCTTTGCCCAGTTTTGCAGCTCGATCTCTGCCAGTGTCACAGCAAGCTTCGCCCCACTGCTCTTCAACCGCTGTGACTGGAATCCCGCTGAGTGGGGAGGGCCGTTCGAGACCGCCTTCCAAGACGTGGTGGGCAGCTCAGTGATGCTGGCAGGTTCTGCGGCAATCCTCGCCCAATTCGGTGATTATGTTGAAGACTGCCCTGGGGGTGACGTCAAAGAATGTGTGATGCTGTGCCAGGCGGGAGCCAGCTACGACGAGAAGTGCTTACAGCACTGCTTGGACCTCGCCTTGCGAGGTCTTTGCTGATGACCGATCCAGGACCCAGGACCCTTGCAACCACAGAAGTCAATCTAGAATCTAGACCATATCACGAGAAGCGTTTTTTTTGTGTCTTGCAGCATTTCGTAGCTGTCCCTAGACACCGTTACTACAAAGAATTATTCTCAAGTTGTTAGGGTCAAAGCCTGGGCCAAATGTACAGTTGACCAGTTTTGGCCACAAGAAGCGGCTCAGCAGGGGGGCCTCACTACGGAACAATTGGTCCAGTGTTGCCATCCACCTGTGAGAGGGATTCTGAGCATATCCAGGGATGCTTAGGCACATGGGCTAGTGATGTGTTCATCTCCTTTCTTACACCTTCAGTGTCCCAATCAGGGCTCGCGTCTTGCAATCTTGTGTTGCAAGCAAGTGGCAATTGAATGTGAAAAAGAAGGAAGGCGTGGGTGAGTCTGACACACCTGCGAGCGCAAGCAATCCAAGATCATGCAATCAGTTGTTGGGCATAAGAGGTGCTGGTACCTTCTTTTATTCCATTTTGATCTCTGCTGTATGCCAAGAATTCTTTCTAAATTTGTTAAAATTTTGTGGTGGATCCCAAAAAGCGATTCGGACATCTATGCATGCATGCATCATTCACAGGCAGTCACCATCTAAATAGGTTCAAGGACGTTCCCCTCCTGTCCACACCGGTTGTGTTCCACCAAGATGCTGCAGATGGATTGAACGCTGTGTTTCCTCCAAATCAGCTGTTTTTTGAACTGTGAGGCAAGATTGGGAGCTTCCCTTTCTGCTCTCACCAAAAGTTGGCGACTTTTTGGTGTCCTTGAAGGTGGTTTGTGAAACTTGTTGCTTCTGAAGCTTGATTGGCCCAGCCACGCAATCCCAGGCAACGACTTTTTCCTTTGGGAGCAATTTCAGAGACTTGCAAAGAGTTTTGCTGTTTACATCCTACGTCTAAGCAGAACCAAGCTGAGGTTGGCATAGCAGATAGCATTTCCTAGATTTTCTCATATTTTCTCACAATAAGGCTGCACAAGTCAGCATCAGCTTCATGCAATAGAAATCAGAGGAGGGAGATGTTTTTCAGCACACGCCTTGCGATCTGCTCGCTGGTGGTTGCTTCGCTAAATGGGCTGGCATGCGTTGCCCTTGCTTCGCAGTCTTGGTGGAGCGGCAACAAGCAGACCAACCCTGGATTTATATTCTTTTGGACCGCTATGTACTCAGCTGGTGGAGGCCTGTGTTTCCTGCTGGCGATGGTCATTTTCTTGGCAAACCCTGGGCCAGGGAACTACCCAGTCCTATCTTTTGCATTAGTGTTTTTTTGGAGTGCGACAAAGGTGTGGAACACAATCTTCAACCTTTTGCTGGCCACAAAGTTTCGCTCAAACAATGGAACGATCCAGCTAAACCATCAACGACTCCACCTGGTGGTGGTAGTTGGGGTGTTTCTGCTGACTCTGGTAGCTTTGGGAAAACCAGGCCGTGACTTGAGGTTTTCCTACAATGAGGACGGCGCCTACTACGAGCTACATTTTCCGCTTCGGTGGTACGGGTTCTTCATGCCAGGAGTAGAGGTAGTGACTCTCATTGTCTCCCTCGGGCTAATGACACGGAATGCTGTAAGAGCCAATCGGACAGGCAGTGAAAATTACCAGGACATAGGCAGTGAAGCAGTGCGGTCAAGAGTAGCGCTGTCAAAAGAATTGAAGAAGGCCTATTGGTTCTACTTGCCTCACCCCTTGCTGGTTTGTTTTTTTACAGTCCTCCCTGCCGCCGTGATTGCTGCCGCAGACTACTGGTATGGAACACGTCCTGATGATCCAAATACATGGTTGCGCAGCTTGCTGGTTTACTCCTTGTATGGAGGGGAAGGCATGGCAATTTCTGTATACCGGCTGCGACAGCTTGCTGCCACCCGTGCCGCAAGTCACAGTGTCCCCCTGATCCAAGATGCAATTGACAACTTCCGTCGCGAGTCCTTCCGATTTGCTCTGCAAGCTTACATGGACGTCGAAAAGAACAGACGCACAAACCGCCGCGATGCAGAGCGGGATTGTGAGCCAGAATTTCACTCTCTCCTGCTTGCCGACCTGGAAATCATCCAGCCATTGAAGTTTCAGATCCTTCGAGAACAATGGGCCATTGCATATGAGCAAGATTCCATGTACACTGGGCTGTGTAATAACTTATGTGACGCAAAGACCATCCCATTGGAGAACATGGAGGTTGCAGTCGAGGCTGGGGAGGCATTGGCTGACTACCTTCAGAGCATAGTGCCCACCAAGACTCTACGCGATAGAAACAAGAGTCTTGGCTACTACGACATTGCGCCATACAACAGCTTGCTTGAATCACAAACTTCGGAATGGCGACCAGCTTGTGGGGAGATTAATTTGTAGGGAGTTTTGGGCATCTCAAAAAGTACTTTTTGAGCAAAAAGTGTCACGTGCTAACATGTCATAACACCTCCGTGTCTTACAACGATTTATAACGTGAAAAAGTGAAAAAATGAAAAGTAAAAAAAATGATTTATATTAGATTGAAAAGTTTTAAAAGTTATGCACCAACAAACATTGAACTGACATGAATTAGTATCCTTGATGGATGTGGCATGGTTGTCTTATTGGCAATGAGAGCAGAGCTTGGTGATGGAACTTCAATCATCAAGTTTACTACATTGCCAACATTACTATTTATTTGGCATGTCTAGTACCTGTGTTTGCATATGCCCAGGATGTATGAACATATATCCACGTCAGGATGCATCCCCAGGTCACATGGCAATGCATATTTCCTGTTGCTGATGTGATATCTCACAAAAACATGCCAACATCTTCCCCTCAATTAGTCAGTCAGTCAATTGTGTCAATTGCATCTGTTGTGTTTCTTCAATTTCTGATGTTGAGTTCTTGTGGTGTGAAGTGGTTTCAGATTGAGATTCTCTGAATTGAGTCATTGCTTGAGATGTTACTACATTGTCATTCACCTGCTCGGGCCTTAGTTTGCAAACATGTCTCGTTGACAAATGATTTGCGTCAATTGTGTCATTTGCGTCATTTGGATGTTTGCAGGTCAATGTTTTGTTTGGATGCTTCAAGGAGGGGCTGCAGCGCGTCAACTTCATTCAGGGTGGGGGCCCCAGGATTTCTTTGACAAGCACTTTTGGCAAAGTCATTTTCGTCTTGAAAAGTGATTTGGTCAATTGAGTCAATTGTTCATTTTGTTCTACTCATCCAGGGCTTTATTTATTATTCAGCAGCTGTGCCAATGCATCAATCAAATTATGTGAAAGAACGGATGAATGAAAAGAATGTCAGAGGCAATAGGGCTCAAGTTGCGTGATTTGTGTTGATTGATTTGCTGTTTGTCTTAATTGCGTGATTTGTATCAATTGTGGTCGCCAATTGCAGATGGTGAATAGATGGTCAAGAAGAGCGTCTGCTGCAGCAAGTCGAGAGACCACGACTCCACCAGCTCTCAATCAATCAATCCATCCATCCCATCCATCCATCCAATCAATCAAATCAATCAACCAACCCACCAATTCAATTAACCACTAAATCTATCCTATCCTATCCTATCCTATCCTATCCTATCCTATCCTATCTATCTATCTATCTATCTTTTTATCTATATATCTATCTGTCTGTCTGTCTGTCTGTCTGTCTGTCTATCCCATCCCCATCCCATCCATCTAATAATAAATTTATCTATCTCATCTAGAATCTAATTATTTATTGCAAGACTAATCAATCATAAACTTGAAAAGTAAATGAATTAGTCAGTAAGAAAATAGAATTATTAAAATAATTATTATGAAATAAAATATTAATTTACTTGTTTCATAAAATTATACACTTTTATATTAAAATAAAATACTTCGAAAACACTGATTTCCCAGACTTCCAAACCACCAACCCAAACCACCACGTAAGCGTAACCTGATTGCATGTTGGAAAAAAAGAAAATCATATTCAGCCTGTCAGTGCACATTGATTGAATGGGACATGGTTCCTTTACAGTACAAGCTTTGTTCATGGCAGCAAATGAGATGTGATTGCATCTTAGTTTCTTGTGTCTTAAGGTGGCTGGTGGTAACTTGGAGGCTCAGCTTTGTTTCCTTTGAAATGTCAATTGTGTCATTTGCAGTCAATTGACTCCCGGTAAGTCAGTTCAGTGAACCAGGGGAAGTGAGTGTCATTTTAGCCATGCGTCGGTTACAAGATTTCGGCAGGCCTTTGTGACATTGGTGGCAGGCTCATGGATACACCCAGGCGAGGCCTGTGTTGTTCAAGTGCCAGTCATTCAATTTGATTCATTGAATTGCATTGTACTTGAATTACTTGTGGTTGCAAATCATGACAATATGGCAGTTGTCCTGAAGCAACTAGTGCTCGAAGCATTAATTGGATTCAATTGCATCAATGGTGTCATTTGCGTCATTTGCGTCATTTGTATCAAAACAGATTTGAAAACAAGTCATGCATCATGCAGAAAAACATCCTTAAAGGGCAACCCAATGAACAACAACAAACGCAAAACAATTTGATTTCAAATGTATTAAATGTCTTCGGCCTCGATTGCTGTGCAATACCTGCCGTCTGAGTGGCGCTCAACGGTGAGCAAGTGGCCAAGGAAAGCGCAACAGGTCGCTTGATCGCACATGAAACAAACAGGTCGCTTAATTTCAAGAGTGTCACAAGATAAATTTCAACGTTGTTACTAGAATCTGGGAATAGTGCATTAGCAAACTGCTTGCTTGAGGCAATCTACTTGGTCCACCTTGAGTGCCCAAGCAACGCCCAGGACTTGGTGCCCCTTGGATCAAAGAAGTGGGATTAAGTTTGCTGATTTGGGCTTCTATGTTTCATTTGATGATGTTTAACGTTTGTTGTGGTGAGTTCTCTTCAATTGGGTCAATTGTCAGAGAAAGTGTGGGTCAATTCACTTGTTTGTTACTCAGGGATTTGGTGGAGAAAAAGAAGCCTGTTGACATCCTCAAGTACGTTCTGTCGATTTCGAGGACAAAGTTGAAGGAGTAACTTACCTGCATTGCAGGATGTTCTGC